TCAGTTCTGAGGAAGGGTCACCGGACCCGAAACGTTAACTCTGTTTTCTCCTTCACAGATGCTGCCAGACCTGCTGAGCTTTTCCAGCAACTTTGATTTTGGTTTTGAGGTGATGGCTATAGAAATATGGGCCTTTCTTTTCACACTTCTATTTGGCAGCAGAATTTTCTATTTTAAATGGCAGAAGCAGATGTTTTGTTATTTTGTTCCAATTGTGTGAATAGCTCAGAGATGCTAAAACGTGAAGTCGAGACAATGTTAGCTGACAGGCAGTGGGTGTAACAGAATTGAGGAGTTGCACTTAAATTTGTCTTGCTTTTTCTCCACCCCCGCCTTTCCCCTTTTTTAGATAGAGGCAGAAGCATTATGCCAGAACAGAGACCTTAACATAATCCCCACGGGTCTCCCTTTCGACATATGGAAACTGGATTTATCTGTTAATCGCATTAAGAGGTTGACAGTGGAGAATCTGACTCTGTACAACTCCATTCAGTACCTGGATTTACAATCCAATCACCTGGAGTTTATCCAACCAGGGACCTTTGCCAGTCTGTCTCACCTGGAGGTGCTTAACCTTGCAAACAACCTCTTGGATCTCAGCAAATATGGGCTTGGCAGGCTACCATATGTGAAAAGGTTGGAGCTGTCTGGTAACAGTTTGTACACTGACGTTGTTGAGGATTTTCTGAAAGAGGCACCCTTGCTCGAAGAGCTGTCCTTGGCTAGGAACAGCATCACCAAGCTCTCAGACCACACCTTCCGAGGGTCCCCGTCTTTGACCCATGTTAACCTACAGCACAACGTCATCATTGAGATTGAGTCGGGGGCGTTTCAATCGCTGTCCAATCTGTCTGTGCTCGATTTGGCCATGAACTCCATACCCTGCATCTCTGACTTCGACCTCAAGCAACTTCAGGTCTTGAACTTGAGTAAGAACAGCATTGAACACTTCCTCATGGCTGAATCGGAGGAGGAGTACTCCCTGCAGTGGTTGGATCTCAGTGATAATAATTTGCTCTATTTTCCGGCTTTTCCCAGGAGAAACCGCCTCCAGCACCTTGACCTGTCACGGAATTCAGTTCAAGGGCTTTCCTTACCACCCTCCCATCTGGAAGGAAGTCGGAATCTGCAAATGAACATGACCAAGTCTTCTCTGTCCCTCCACTTGACTGAATTGGTCTATTTGGATCTGAGCTACAATGAGATAACCTCCATCCCATGGGAATTCTTCCGAAACATGAACTCATTGAGGTTCCTCAACCTCAGCAGGAACTGCCTGCACAGTTTCGTCATCGGTGAAGCCAACGTGCTGAACTCGCTGGCCAACCTCGACTTGAGTTCCAACGCGTTGCTGAACCTGTCGCTGGCCAGGGGTAGCCTCAACCTCCTGGACCATTTGCACCTTCAAGACAACCACCTACAGAATCTACCTTCCAATATCTTTAGGGGCCTGAACAGGATTCGGATCATTAGCCTTTGTAACAACAATGTCAACATTTGTTGGGGCACCCATTGGACCACGGACCACGAGCATGGGTGCACGATTTTCTCCCAAATCAATACACTTAGGTATTTATATCTGCATAACAACAACATTAAGTACTTGCCTCCTCATGCCTTTCATCAAACTCCACTTGTGGAGCTGGACCTTTCTATGAATCCTGGAATGCAGGTTCATCCTGAGGCTCTATCCGATCTGGAGGCTTCATTGACCAACCTGTCTTTGAAAGGCAACAAGCTTCTTTCACTGGGTGTGAACCTTTCACGTCTTTCCAATCTCCGGACACTGGACGTGTCGGAGAACCAGTTGACTGAGCTTACCATCTCCAGCAGGAGCTTGTCGCTAGAAACTGTGGATCTGCGCAACAATCAGTTCAGCACCTTGCAGCAGACCTCCATGGAGCTGCTGAATGGGACCCTCTGCAACCTGCTGCTCTCTGGCAACCCATTTGACTGTTGCCGGTCCACCGGAGTCCGGTGGCTGACGTGGGTCAATGTGCCAGACAGGTGGTCCGTGCTGTGCCATTACCAGACCAAAGACGGATACTTTCAAGCACAATTGTTTAGCCCACGGCCCAGTCTCTGCCAAGAGGACACACAAGACTGGGCGACGTGGAGCCTTTTATTGCTGATATTAATGATTGTAGTATTTCTCACCATTGTCGTAGCTCTGGGATGCTGCCTGGCACGAAGGCAGAAGGTCAAAAGGATGTTCCTCCACCATGTAAAAGCCTAGGCAATAAGCTTTGTCTTTTCTTTGTCAGTGTTTAAATGAAGTGAAGCGAGGAGAATAAATGTTTTATGTAATCTATATATCTGATGGTCATCACAACCCAAGGTTTTTGTAAAGAAGGCCAAACATTTTGCATTGGCTTCTCTCATCATTAATAAATTGGCCTTCTCCTCAAAATAAAGGGGCTCACGGTACCCAGCAATTCACAGAAGCCTCCCTCAGCAAATCGACTTCAGACTAGATTGCTGCTCCTACATCACAGTGATTATAAGAACTGTGGCCTTAAAAGGTAGCGGCCAGGCTAAACCATGGATCTATGTTACTACTTTAAGTTCAATAGTCTACACCAACTGCTCACGATGAATGGGCGCAGTTGACCAGGTAGCATATTATGGTGGAAGCAAATTCAATAGTAATTTCAGTACGGTCGTAACAAACAAAGGAAAAATGTTTACAGAGCTCCAGGGAAAGGGTAGGACTGTATCACTTCATCAAACTTTCAAGTGGCTATCACAGGCCCAATGGCCCAAATGGCCTCCTTTGGTAGTTTCTCATTTTGCATAAAACTGGTTCACCCATCCTCATTGTTTTTTAAAATCTGTTAGAGAGAACTGTTTTAGAGTTGGTGGTGGGATTGTAGACTGGGTGATTTAATACCATGACATAAAGACTAGGGGGTCCAAAATTCAGTCTGTGACAAATTCACAGTCTAAATGTTCAATTCAATTGCCGTCAAGGCTTTGTGGGGGTGGAAAAAAAGAAATCTTTTGCCTTGGATCATTCTTCAACAAGCAAGAGAGAATGGGATTTGTGGATTGGGTTAGGTGAATAGGGGTTGTGAAAGGTTTGGATGTTGTGTAATATACTAATTGGGCCGAATGATCTTTTTCTCTGCTGTGTATTCTCTCCCATTCTGACTCTTTTTGGAAGTGTCACTGTTGATAACAATCGGCTGTGATACCACCCCATTATCAAATTGCCAACCCATTCCTGACACCTAGGCTCCTTTGGTAGTGCCCCGATTCACAGATGCCAAGTTTCAGCCAATTTGATTCACTCCATGTGATAGCATGAAACAGCTGAAGCCACTGCAAAGTAAATGGGAACGAAGAGCATTCCAGCAACAGTATTGAAGACTTGTTCTCCTGAACATGCCGCACCCCTAGCCAAGCTGGCACCTATCCAACAATGTGGAAAATTGTCACCTGTCCACAAAAAGCAGGATAAATCCAACCTGGCCAATTACCAAAACATCGCAATTACCAATTATTCTCAATCATTAGTAAAATGATGGAAGGTGTCATTTACAGTGCTGTAAGGTGACAGGAGTTCCTAATGATAGTGTCCTTGGCCAAGCATCTTCAGCTGTTGCATCAATGACCTTCTCTCCATCATAAGGTCAGAAATAGGATATTTGCTGATGGCTTAATGTTCAGCACCATTTGCAACAGCTTAGATATTGAAGCAGCACATGTTCAATTGCAGCAAGACTTGGACAATACCCAGGCTTGGGCTGACAGGTGGCAATCACACCATACACATGCAGGCAGTGACTGTCTGTAATAAGAGACAATCTAACCATTGTACCTTGACATTAGTGGCATTACCATCACTGAATGTCCCACTATCAACATATTGGGGATTGCTATGAACCAGAAACTGAACTGGACAAGCCATATAAATACAGCAAGAAACTTGGTTCCTGACTCCCCAAAGCCAGCCCACCAAGTACAAGGAACAAGTCAGGGTGTGAAGGGTCTAGGCCCGAAACGTCAGCCTTCCTGCTCCTATGATGCTGCTTGGCCTGCTGTGTTCATCCAGCCCTGCACCTTGTTGTCTGTGATGGAATACTCCCCACTTGTCTGGATGGGCGCAGCCCCAAAAAACACTAAAGAAACTTGACACCATCTAGGCAAAGCAGCCCGCTTGATTGGCACCACATCCACCACCTCCAATATTCACTTCCTTCACCACCATCTTTACACACTTTCAGCAGTGTGTACCACCTACAAGATGCACAGCAATGACTCACTGAGGCTCCTTTGACAGGATCTTCTAAACCTATGACCTCAATCATCTAGAAAGACAAGGGGAGCAGATACATGGGACCAGTACCAGCAAGTTCCCTCCCAAGCCACTCACCATCCTAGAAGTATATCGCTGCTCCTTCAGTGTCACTGGGTCAAAATCCTGGACCTCCCTTCCTAAACATCAGTGTGGGTGTACCTACACCCCACATCCACAGTCACTAAAGAAGGCAATTCACCACAACATTCTCCACAAGTGCAATTGGAGATGGGTAATAAATATTAAAACACAAAAAAATTGTTTGGGGAATCCTGTTGTTTCCTGTGTGGGAGAGTCTATGACCAAAGGGCACAATCTTGGAATAAGGAGTTGCATGTTTAAGACAGAGATGAGGAGGAATTTCTTCACTCCAAGGGTAGTGAATCTGTGGAATTTTTTACCACAGAGGGCTGTTGAGTTTGGGTCATTAAGTATATTCTGTTCTGTTGTTCAGTTTGAACGTAGCTGATCCATCCGCTCACCTCTGTTCTATGACTCTTAATAGCCTTGGCTAACAAAAATAAATCAATCCCCTTCCCACGCCAACAATCCAATGTAATCTGGATTTAGTCAATTGTGTGAACTGATGATGTGAATGTGCTCCTGTCACACCATGTACAAGAAAATTGGTAGCATTCAGGATGTTTGTAAAATGAGAATTATGTTTGTTTACTAGACTGGTGTTTTGTGTAACTCATTGTTTTAATGTGATTGTTTCAAATGAAGAGTATTATATATATATTTAAGCAAGCGTCAATGTTTCTTTTAAGACAATTTTACCAATTCATCTTTTAAGACTGCCCTTGACAGGACAACATTGGTGTGTATCTTCATCACATTTGACCAACAGAAGGCCGAGGCTTCAGAGGTCAGCAAGCAGTCAATATAGAGACAGAAATCGGAGAGGGGGAGTAACTGTGATGCTCTTGCAGAGAGTTTGTGTAAGTCTGATGGGCCAAACAGCCTCTTTCAGCGCTGTAATAATTCTACAATTCTATATTATCTGTAACATCCATGGGGCATTCTCAAAATGTTTCAGAAATGCAGTGGAGCACTTCTCAAAGTGGAAGGAGTTTTATAAAAACGCCAACTGTACAGTGACGGCTGCCTGAGCCACAGAGAGCTGCTCTCTCATTGAAGAGGAATGACTGTTGATGAGTTTAATCTGAGGGTCACCGTGTGAGGGGTGAGGTTGAGAAGGGAGGCTCTCTATGGAGTGACCTCAGCCAGTAAGGGAATAGCAACTACGCTATTAGCATTGCTGTGCATCAGGAACCAACCATCCAGCCAACTGAGCTGACCAACAGCGCCCCCAACCCCGTCCACCCCCAAAGCCACTTTGCACATAGCGAGCAACAATACCAATGTGACAAATAACTGGCTCATCCATTTGTCTTTTAGAGATATTGAATGAGGATTCTGGGATGAAACTCTCCTGATTCACTTTGAAGAACCTTGTGATCTTTCCAACCCATTTACGAAGACAGCTGGGGCCTCAATTAACATGTCATCCAAGAGGTCACACCTCTGACAGTGTAGTACTTAGGGGGAGGCAATGCCCTAGTGGTATTATCGCTGAACTGTAAACCCAGAGACCTGGATAACGTTCTGGGGACCTGGGTTCAAATCCTGTCACAGCAGATGGTGGAACTTGAATTCAATAAAATATCAGGAATTAAGAATCTAATGATGACCATTATTGATTGTGGGGAAAAAACCCATCTGGCTCACTAACATCCTTTAAGGAAGGAAACTGCCATCCTTACCTGGTCTGGCCTACATTTGACTTCAGACCCACAGCAAAGTGGTTGATTCTCAACTGCCCTCTGGGCAATTAGGGATAGACAATAAATGCTGCCTTACCAGCAATGCCCTCATCCCATTAATGAGTAAAAAAAACTCTCTCAATCCTCTTCTGAGTGTGTTGGGCTTGCTTTTTGTGGTTGAATCTCCAGAAGTGGGGCTTAATCCCTCAATCTTCTGAATCCAAGGAAGCCACCACTCCAACCCCAAACCCCAGTATTGAAGTGTTTTGGGATGCTCGGATGCAAAGCCAAGTTGTTTCTCCTTCCTAAACTTCTGACTCAGAGATAAGGGGGCTGCCACTGAGTGACAGTGGAGGCACAGAATATTGCTCACGGTTATGATGGCAGAGCAATGCTAAGAAATTCCACTTGGGATAACCAAATGACATTTGGTTGCTAAAGCTCCCCACCGCGGGGGGGAGTAGGATTAGGGTGGGGTGTGTGGTGAATAGAGCCTCTTCACTACAAACGCCTGGGCCTGTTGTAGACTAACCAATAGAAATCACCACCAATTCTGCTATCCCCATGCCAATCTGTCTGGTTTGAGTTAACAGTTCTTGTTGCATCTCCATTCCTTATGCTGGATATATCAATGTTCCCTGTCTTAGAACAGTTCCTTCCATCCCAGGCACGATGAGTGAATGACGGAAAGCTTTGACTTTGTGTCCCTTTCAACAAATCTTCAGTTCTGTTCCATCAAGCAATTGCATGATTCCGCTAGTGTTATAGATATTTTCAATCAACATGTTTGGGGATGTCACCTCTGGAGCAGGTGGGACTTGAACCTGGGTCCCCTGACGCAGAGACTGGGGCACAACCACTGTTTCACAAGAGCTGTATCTGCTGGGGTTGTATCATTGACTGTCAGGATACTAGAATTAGAACTGGATGATTATTAGGTCTTTGTATCCCTAACAGTTCCTCAGTTTCAATGATCTGTAGAATTTGGTTGAATATTTGCTGCTTTGAGGTTTCCATCCAGTTTCAAATTCAACAGGAATTCACTATTGAACATGACTCTTTTTACACGATAACCAGGGAAGAAGTATATGAGAGTCGCAGGATAATTAGTTCACACATTCTGTTTGAACCCAATTGTTCTCCATTATTTTAATTGACAGGAAGTGGCTTATCTCTTTCAAACGGGTGAGCATTTTCCCCAAACTGTCTGAGAGAGCAATCTGACACTGTGTTGAGACATTCACATGATGGCATTGACTGTAATCTCTTTACCCTTCTGTGAAGTTCCTGTGACTTTAGCAGTGTAAAGGTTAATGCCTTATGTTAAACTGTGATTAATGAAGAAATAAAAGTCAAATATTGTTTTCTGTTATTTGTCGTTTGTGTTGAACAGGGGGTTGGGAGTGGGCAGGTCTGTGCTTTGAAAGGAAGGTTCAAATTTTGGGTTTCAATTCCGAATAAGGTCACTAGTTCATGGTATGGCCATTAATGAATGAGGTATCCTCAGCTGAGAGTGAGTGCAGTACTGATACTATCAGTTTGAACTGTCCCCAGGAAGACATCGGTGCTGTAACTTTGTGAGTAAAATTGCCTGATTCAGTGACTGTCAGTTCAATTCTCATTCTGAAGACTCGAGAACAAGGTCTCAGCCTATGCTCCAGTATGGAACTGAGGGAGTGCTGTGATGATGAAGGTGGCACCTTTTCAGATGAGATATTAAACTGAGCCCTCATCTGAGAATCACAGGTGAATGTGAAAGATCACGGGTATTTTTGAAGAAGAATGTGGAAATTCTACCAGGGGGTCCTGGTCAATGTTTATCCTTCAGCTAACATAATTAAGAATAGTGAATATGCAGCCATTAAGCTATTACTAATGTTTGACACAAACTGGCTACAGACAGTCCCCAGTTTGCAAATGGTTTCTTTTCTGGAATTTGTTTTCAAGTCAATTTGCACACAAGTTGGACACAATGCAGGACAACGTAAAGTAGCCGTTTAGAATCATACAGTACAGAAGAGGCCCTTCAGCCCATCGAGTCTGCGCCAACATGTGAGAAACACCTGGCCTTCTAACTAAGAGATAGCAAGAACTGTTGATGTTGGAGTCAGAGATAACACAGTGTGGAGCTGGAGGAACGCAGCAGGCCAGGCAGCATCAGAGGAGCAGGAAAGTTGATGTTTCGGGTTGGGACCCTTCTTCAGAAATGTCTTCTAACTAACCCCATTTCCAGCACTTGGCCCACAGCCAATGAAGTACAGGAGATGTTCATATGTCTTTAAAATTACAGAACAGAATAGTAATTTATTGTATCAGACATAGTAGGAACTGCAGATGCTGGAGAATCTGAGATGACAAGGTGTAGAGCTGGATGAACACAGCAGGGCAAGCAGCATCAGAGGAGCAGGAAGGCTGACGTTTTGGGCCTAGACCCTTCATTTTT